TGATCAATGGTATTGGAAACAACTAAAATTGCATCCACTTGGGCCTTAATTGTAGACAAATATAGAGTCATAGTTTAATCTTTCATAGTTAAGTAATGCAGTTCACTTTTGAGTTGTAAAATGCATGATCGATTTGAAGATTTCAGTCTTTATCAAGCGTTTGCATGAGTTCATTGCATGTGTCAAGATTCAATGCATAAGGTAATAAAGGAGCTGAAATAACTAAATAGAGTTGATGTCAGATTTTGGCTGATCAATAACCACTTATTATAGTTGGGATTAGGAGCCAGAATGCCATATGCACCAGGTAAATATTTGGGAGGTTGAGTAACGGTTCCAGATAGGAATCTGTTGAATCCATTTGCAATAAAAACTTCGTTAATCTGAGATCGGAAAACAAGGTGGTTGTCTTTAGTAAAAGGGGAGTTTATCATGCGCTTCACATTGTTCATAAGAAACTTTTATCAAGCCGGAATGTGAAGCTCAGCCAGTAGAGTGCTAAGACTTTGAGTTTCCCTGGTAGACCACAGTGAATCAACAATGTCGGAAATGTTCATTTGCGTCATATCGAGAAGATGAGGCTGTTAATCTGATAAGCTCTGTTACCATATAAACTTTGTTGAAGAACAATTGTTAAAGAAACTAGATAACTAGCAAAAATAGAAAAATAACTACTCGAATTTTTACTCATACTATAAATTTGTATTTTACAACACAAATTTATAGTATGAGTAGAAATTATTAAAAATGACCTTTCTTTATTAGATTTAGATGATGAGAATTTGACTCTTCATATAACACAATGGCGAAAAAGAATTCATGTAGCCGACCCCCTATAGTGGGATAAAAGCTTATTGTTCTTGTTATTGTACTGTAAATTTGTATTTTCTTACTCTCAAGAACAGTAGTGTTCAATCTATTTATCAAGAGCTATACATCTAACGGTAGAAATAAAAGCTATTAGTTATACTTGAATGGCTGAGATAAGATTACTGTAAAGTGATTTGTTGGTTGTGGCAGAGGTAGTGCATCATAAAAGAGGAGGAACCATAAGGAAGAAT